AAATATTAGCGTTTTCATTAAATTTAAGCCTCCAAATGATGTTTAGGAAAGTTGAAAAATAAAACACGGTTGAAGGTAATTTTCTTATAGTCTATTTTTATGCATTTCAAAAACCGGCTGATATTATTAACGGATGCCAATCCCAAGTGATTCATTGTCATAAATAACGCTTATTATGGAGTAAAATAGCCTATGATTTTGACACGCAACGTTTTACAGATGAAAAAATAATGATTTGAGGTGCTTGTAAAGTTTAATTTTCGGCCTGAAGTCCCTTCGGCTTGAAGTCCCGTCGGCTTGTTGTCCTAGACCCATAAATATTGAACAAAAATATTTAAAGTTTTAGAAATAATGTACTGTGTGAAAGTCAATAATATGAAGCCCATTATCTTACGTTTATCACTGAGAATGAATTTAAACGATTTTTTTCTTGAAAAAGTTAATCCTTATTTTCTAAGAAATCCATTTAAATCGCTTGAAAATCATGAAACCTTCTACAAAATTGATTTAACCAATTTTTCGTGGTCTTGAATTAATCCATTTTGTAGTCTTATTCAATTTTCGTTTAATTCTTTTTTTCTCCACAATTTAAGCAAAAAAAAATTGTACGTACAATTATCCATCAATGTTACAGTGGTCGACTGCCACTTGAGGAGATTTGTTTTCCGCAAAAACTTAATTTCACGAAAAACATATTAAAGTCTTTCAAGCTAAGTGAGCCCGCGGTAAAAAAACAACAAGCATTTGAAGTTTTCGAATGTCATTTTTGAATTCAACATTTTAAGAACAATTTTCTGGAGCGAATCAGCAAAAACAATCAAAACACCATTCTTATAGTTTTCAGGTCAAACATTAGCAGACAAAATTAAATGAACAGCATACTTTACGAAGAGGCAAAGCAGATCTTCGCATCACTCGAAAGAACTTGAAAGAAATGAACAGTTACATTAATGCGAAACTAAAAAAAACTTGAAAATCAACAAATTTAGAAATACGAAAACTTCAACCTCAGAAAAACAGACAAGAAATACAACCACTAACAGTAGACAAACTTTTAGTTTTATCCAAAAACTCACTAGGCCGACAACACGCGTTTAGACGCCAATTGATCCGAAAACAAAAAATTTGGAAGGAAAGTGTTGTCATAAAAGAATTTTTGAACAAGCAAAAAGTTTGAACTTTTTTTGCTACCAACCGACCTGATTTGTTCGAAACAAAATTAATCGTTTTTATCCTTAAGCCGATGTAACAATTAAATTCACTTTATGGACAAATTTACACTATGGAAACCAATTCGGCCGAAAAGAACTTCCAAGCGAAAAAGCAGAACGGAAAATATATGATGATGATGATGATGATTGGCTTTACCACTCTTTCTTGAACACAAGAGTGGTAGAAGGCTCACAAAGCCTCACAGAATAAAACAGTTTTCAGGGTTCGTTTAAACAGCGTAAAATCAATAATATCTGTTAAGAGAACAGGCAGTGAGTTCCAAATAACAGCTCCTTGGTAGGCAATGCTCATTTGGTAAATTCTGTTCTGCATTTCGGAAGGATAAACTTTTGTCTGCGCGAAGGGTTGACAGAAGCAGAATTCTTTTTGAAAAGATTGTATAAATAATCGGCACAGTTCCAATTGTGAAACACGCGAAACATGAAGCAGCATATTTTGAACCTAATTCTTCGGTAAACTGGAAGCCAGTGCAATTTCTTCAGTAACTCGTTTGTTGATGCTGTTCTCCTCGTAGCACCTAAAACAAACCTGGCGGCAGCGTTTTGAAGTTTCTGTAGTTTAATAAGTAAAATTTTTTTCACTTTCATATATAACGCATTGCAATAGTCAAGCCTTGACAGAATAAAGCTAGTAACAAACATTTTTCTTTGGTCTAAAGTCAGAAAACGTCGAATGGAATATAATTTACGCAATTCTAGATAACATAACTTGCAACAATGGTTTATTTGCTTCTCAAATGACATGTTCTAATCAAGGTAAACCCAAAAGTTTGGTAAAGCATTTAGGAACTTTTTCTTTATTAAAAATTTTCAATGGCTTTAAATAATCGTGATGCAGTTGTCTACCGAAAAACACTACTTCTGTTTTTCCATCGTTTTTATTAAGACTTAAGTGCAATTGGGAGCATAATTTTTCAATGTTTTCTAGTTTGTGGTTATTTTGCATGAGATTAATCTCCAAAAACAGTTGAGAATCATCGGCATAAAAGTGGTACGCAATGTTGCTATCAATAAGGTAATCAAGAAGAGGTTGTAAATAAAGGATGAATAAAATCGGCCCCAAAACAGAGCCTTGTCGGACTCCAGTTTCGACCTTAATTTTGTCTGACAGACTACTATTTACCAAAACTTGTACAAAGCGGTTACTGAGATAAGTTTCAAAGAATTGTTTAACTGTGTGAGCAATACCAATTTTGTTTTCAAGAATCTTTAATAACAATGAATGGTCAATTGTATCAAACGCAGCAGAAAAATCCATTTGAACAACGTAAAAACACTTTTCCGAATCAATTTTAGAAAATATATAATGAGAACAGAGCAAGAGACCACTCTCTGTTGAATAACCTTTACGGTAAGCCGACTGAAATTGAGGCCAAAGCCGATTTGAGGTTAAATGTTCACTCATCTGTGAAAGTACAAGCTTTTCAGTAATTTTTGACAATGCTGACAAATAAGTAATCGGGCGATAACTTGACATAGTTTCTTGGTTTAAGCCATGTTTTAGAAGTGGTCTGATGACTCCTTGTTTAAAAACATCAGGAAAAACGCCAGATAACAGAATGCAAATAAAAAGATCTGTAAAAAATTGTATATTCTCGGCAATAAAACCTTTTAAGAACCGAGTAGGAATAATGTCCACAGGTGACTCTGAGGTCCGTAAATCATCTAATACGTCGAGTAGATCTATTGGAAAAATACTAGCGAACTCACACCATACGACTAGATCATTTGACGTGCAATCCAGGCTACTATTAGTTTTAGGCAGTTCATCAACTATGTCGTTTACCTTTTTCTTAAAGAAAATGTTGAACCTGTTTGCTAGGTCGAAAGTAGATGAGTTCACAGGAAGTGTATCATTCTTGTGAATCATCAGTTCATTAAGGCAATAAAAAATCATTTTCGAGCTCTTAGAAGAAAAATTGAGAGTATAGAAATCATTACGTTTTATCGAAAGTACAGATCTGTAGTAAGCGACTTGTGCTCGGTACGCTTCACGGTTTTCCGGGGTGTCATGTTTCCTAACGTTGCGTTCCAACTTTAGTTTTTTCCTTTTTTCCCTTTCGCATTCGGCATCGTAGTAACGGTGTTTACCATCACGACTGATCTTCTTTTTAACAGTTGCAATTTCACTTCTTTTCAGGACGGATGCATCATGAAAGGTATTAAATAACGAGTTAACAATCATTGAAAGGACAGTTTGATTGTAAAATAAAATCAGACTTAGCAATTGCAGAAGTCTCAGTTAAAATAGAATTAAAAATGGAAACACGATCAGCTTGATCCCAAAGCCATTTCACTTTTAAATTGACGTTGGAGGGTGCAATAGTCACTGCAGAAGAATTAATAATCAATGTAACACAGTAATGGTCTGAAGCTAGTGTTCTGTCGAGTGCGACAAAATTTGTAACCCTATGGTTGAAGAATATCAAATCTAGTTCATTGCCACCAACGTGAGTGGGGCCAGAACTGTATCGATAAAAACCCATTTCCTCAATACTAGATAACAAGGCTTTAGAAGAATTACACGACTTATTAACTGGAATACGGAAATCCCCAATAATGTAACACCATTTGTATTGTTGCACATAATGTGTAACAAGATCAACCAATTCAGTTAGGAAAATTGAACATGAAGAATTAGGGCAGCGATATAAAACAAAGATGCATACATTCATGTCTGTAAGTGTAAGTTCAGCGACCAAGAAATCCCAAATATCACTAACTGACTCCTCAATTAGCTTAATTCGGAAAGTGTTGAGATAGAAAATTCCAATGTCCCCACCCCGAGTGGGACGATTGTTACCAATGTAGTTATAATTACAAGGCTTCGCAAGATTTACGTAAAATAAGCTATCTTCAGATAACCAAGTTTCAGTAATTGCAAGAAAAGTGACTTCATTTGCAAGTAGGTACGAATAAATTGAATCCGTCTTATTACATATCGATCGAGCATTCCACAGTGCACAAACATGAATACTCGTCTCTGGTTTCAAGTTCTGGCTTCTTCGTTCAGGAAATAACGACGTACTATAATATTCTCAGGCCAAGTCTCTGTTTTCTCGGCTACGATACTTTCATTCACTGGAATGACTACATGGAAAGATTTCATATCTGCCCTTTTTGAAGGCAGCTCACCGCGGCAACCAAGAAGAGTAAGGTTCTTTTTTTTGCAGTAATCGTTAAGCATGGTCGTGTCAACAATAGAAGAAACTCGGCTAAGGAAATAATGCCTTCTTTCCTCCCGCTCCGAAGGTTTCACACCTTTAATGCTTGTAGATGCAGCCGATGTGCCAACAAGAACCGGTACCTTCACAGGCGAAGTCCGCCGTCGTTTCTCAGTACGTGTAACAGATACTTGAGACGAAGTACTATCAGTTCGTTGGTTCCTTCGGAAAGGGTTTATAATGCCACTTGGACAATTTTTGTTCAATTTCGCTACATTTGCAAACGTCTCTGGTTTCGAAGTAAAGTTTTGCGATTTCAGGCTCTCTACGTCTTTTTCAAGTTTATCAATTTTGTTCATCTTTAACAAAATTTGCTCGAAAATGGACAGTGTACTTATCTTAGAGCAGTCAGGGCACCTCCACTGAATTGAACCACATGTCACAGCTGCAGAGGTTAATCCAATACAGGCTCCCTTGATGCATCGTGATCGACACATATCACAGGATAGCACATCATCATTGTCAGCAATTGTTGATTCGCAGCAAGAACATTTATGGGAATGACCATTGCCATTCCCGATCATTTCCATTTTTATATGAAACTATTTAATAAGTTTATCACAACAATTAGGCTAATTCTTCATGTTCAATTTTCCTAAATGAATTGGTTGATCTTGTTACACATTATGCGCTACAATACAAATGGTGTTACATTATTGGGGATTTCAATATTCCAGTTAATAAGTCGTGTAATTCTTCTGAAGCCTTATTATCTATTTAATACGCGAAATGCGCGTATTAATACGCATATATGTAAACATATAGTTCGCAAAATATCAGTCAGGGATAGTTATTAAAAATTAACTTAAGACTAAAATGAACACAAAGTTATTAACGACACTTGATACTACAATGAAAACTGCGTACACTGCAAAAACAATCAAAGTGTGACAACTAAGCCGACAAAAATTTCAATTTCAGACTGTTATCAAACGAGGACCGGCCGGCCCTCAAAACCCAGACCATAGGGTGCAAAGTCAGTTGTAATACCTCCAGTCCAAGTAAACCGAGCCTTCAAGTTGCCTTGAGGATATAAAAGCAAAATCATTTTCAATTGAAAACGTGTAAGAAAAGTCGTTTAAGGAAAAAAAACTATATTCCGCTTTCAAGACACTTGCTTTCACCGAGTAACCCGTATTAAGTGACTAGATGAAAAACTCGGCAAGATAAAAAACCTTAAAAAAAATCTGTATTAAAGGATTTTTAAGGAAGAAAGAAAAATGACAATTTTTCAATAGATTTCTATCCATTCCAAAAATTGCAAAAATGAAGCTTTTTAAACACCAAAAAATCGATTTGAGAAACGGTTCATTTAATTTGATATAAAATTGATCCAACTCTATCTACCCATGTTTAATCTTCATATTTTTTATGCTTAAATCGATTTCATTTTCAGCTAGGTGATTTTTGACACTAAAAGGGATCTCAACCCTTTTTGTCAGGGCGGAAAGCAAGATAATTTTTGCCCATCTTGAGTAAGATTGAAGGTGTGTTGAATTTCAATAAAACATGATAATAATGAGAATAAACATTTTGAGTCAAAAATTCAAAATAATAATTCATGCTTTTGAGTGAAAGAGCGATTTTCAAATCAGAATAAAATTAGAAACAATTAAGATTTTTTCGATGCAAGTTTTTCCAAATTTGAATTTTCTTTTTTTTTCAAAAAATTGCGTCGAAAACGTTAAATCAACTTAAAATTTGTAGAACATTTTCATAAATCGTTTTCGACTTGCGGCGCTAGCGGTATGTTTCTACCGTGCTCCAGGTATGGTTCGACCATGCTCAACCGAACTTTGATATCTTCGTGTGCTCGAGGTATTTGTCAGCCGTGCTTGAATGAATGATGAAATATTTCTACCGTGCTCCAGGTATGTTTCTACCGTGCTCCAGGTATGGTTCGACCATGCTCAACCGAACTTTGATATCTTCGTGTGCTCGAGGTATTTGTCAGCCGTGCTTGAATGAATGATGAAATATTTCTACCGTGCTCCAGGTATGTTTCTACCGTGCTCCAGGTATGGTTCGACCATGCTCAACCGAACTTTGATATCTTCGTGTGCTCGAGGTATTTGTCAGCCGTGCTTGAATGAATGATGAAATATTTCTACCGTGCTCCAGGTATGTTTCTACCGTGCTCCAGGTATGGTTCGACCATGCTCAACCGAACTTTGATATCTTCGTGTGCTCGAGGTATTTGTCAGCCGTGCTTGAATGAATGATGAAATATTTCTACCGTGCTCCAGGTATGTTTCTACCGTGCTCCAGGTATGGTTCGACCATGCTCAACCGAACTATGATATCTTCGTGTGCTCGAGGTATTTGTCAGCCGTGCTTGAATGAATGATGAAATATTTCTACCGTGCTCCAGGTATGTTTCTACCGTGCTCCAGGTATGGTTCGACCATGCTCAACCGAACTTTGATATCTTCGTGTGCTCGAGGTATTTGTCAGCCGTGCTTGAATGAATGATGAAATATTTCTACCGTGCTCCAGGTATGTTTCTACCGTGCTCCAGGTATGGTTCGACCATGCTCAACCGAACTTTGATATCTTCGTGTGCTCGAGGTATTTGTCAGCCGTGCTTGAATGAATGATGAAATATTTCTACCGTGCTCCAGGTATGTTTCTACCGTGCTCCAGGTATGGTTCGACCATGCTCAACCGAACTTTGATATCTTCGTGTGCTCGAGGTATTTGTCAGCCGTGCTTGAATGAATGATGAAATATTTCTACCGTGCTCCAGGTATGTTTCTACCGTGCTCCAGGTATGGTTCGACCATGCTCAACCGAACTTTGATATCTTCGTGTGCTCGAGGTATTTGTCAGCCGTGCTTGAATGAATGATGAAATATTTCTACCGTGCTCCAGGTATGTTTCTACCGTGCTCCAGGTATGGTTCGACCATGCTCAACCGAACTTAGATATCTTCGTGTGCTCGAGGTATTTGTCAGCCGTGCTTGAATGAATGATGAAATATTTCTACCGTGCTCCAGGTATGTTTCTACCGTGCTCCAGGTATGGTTCGACCATGCTCAACCGAACTTTGATATCTTCGTGTGCTCGAGGTATTTGTCAGCCGTGCTTGAATGAATGATGAAATATTTCTACCGTGCTCCAGGTATGTTTCTACCGTGCTCCAGGTATGGTTCGACCATGCTCAACCGAACTTTGATATCTTCGTGTGCTCGAGGTATTTGTCAGCCGTGCTTGAATGAATGATGAAATATTTCTACCGTGCTCCAGGTATGTTTCTACCGTGCTCCAGGTATGGTTCGACCATGCTCAACCGAACTTTGATATCTTCGTGTGCTCGAGGTATTTGTCAGCCGTGCTTGAATGAATGATGAAATATTTCTACCGTGCTCCAGGTATGTTTCTACCGTGCTCCAGGTATGGTTCGACCATGCTCAACCGAACTTTGATATCTTCGTGTGCTCGAGGTATTTGTCAGCCGTGCTTGAATGAATGATGAAATATTTCTACCGTGCTCCAGGTATGTTTCTACCGTGCTCCAGGTATGGTTCGACCATGCTCAACCGAACTTTGATATCTTCGTGTGCTCGAGGTATTTGTCAGCCGTGCTTGAATGAATGATGAAATATTTCTACCGTGCTCCAGGTATGTTTCTACCGTGCTCCAGGTATGGTTCGACCATGCTCAACCGAACTTTGATATCTTCGTGTGCTCGAGGTATTTGTCAGCCGTGCTTGAATGAATGATGAAATATTTCTACCGTGCTCCAGGTATGTTTCTACCGTGCTCCAGGTATGGTTCGACCATGCTCAACCGAACTTTGATATCTTCGTGTGCTCGAGGTATTTGTCAGCCGTGCTTGAATGAATGATGAAATATTTCTACCGTGCTCCAGGTATGTTTCTACCGTGCTCCAGGTATGGTTCGACCATGCTCAACCGAACTTTGATATCTTCGTGTGCTCGAGGTATTTGTCAGCCGTGCTTGAATGAATGATGAAATATTTCTACCGTGCTCCAGGTATGTTTCTACCGTGCTCCAGGTATGGTTCGACCATGCTCAACCGAACTTTGATATCTTCGTGTGCTCGAGGTATTTGTCAGCCGTGCTTGAATGAATGATGAAATATTTCTACCGTGCTCCAGGTATGTTTCTACCGTGCTCCAGGTATGGTTCGACCATGCTCAACCGAACTTTGATATCTTCGTGTGCTCGAGGTATTTGTCAGCCGTGCTTGAATGAATGATGAAATATTTCTACCGTGCTCCAGGTATGTTTCTACCGTGCTCCAGGTATGGTTCGAATATGCTCAACCGAACTTTGATATCTTCGTGTGCTCGAGGTATTTGTCAGCCGTGCTTGAATGAATGATGAAATATTTCTACCGTGCTCCAGGTATGTTTCTACCGTGCTCCAGGTATGGTTCGACCATGCTCAACCGAACTTTGATATCTTCGTGTGCTCGAGGTATTTGTCAGCCGTGCTTGAATGAATGATGAAATATTTCTACCGTGCTCCAGGTATGTTTCTACCGTGCTCCAGGTATGGTTCGACCATGCTCAACCGAACTTTGATATCTTCGTGTGCTCGAGGTATTTGTCAGCCGTGCTTGAATGAATGATGAAATATTTCTACCGTGCTCCAGGTATGTTTCTACCGTGCTCCAGGTATGGTTCGACCATGCTCAACCGAACTTTGATATCTTCGTGTGCTCGAGGTATTTGTCAGCCGTGCTTGAATGAATGATGAAATATTTCTACCGTGCTCCAGGTATGTTTCTACCGTGCTCCAGGTATGGTTCGACCATGCTCAACCGAACTTTGATATCTTCGTGTGCTCGAGGTATTTGTCAGCCGTGCTTGAATGAATGATGAAATATTTCTACCGTGCTCCAGGTATGTTTCTACCGTGCTCCAGGTATGGTTCGACCATGCTCAACCGAACTTTGATATCTTCGTGTGCTCGAGGTATTTGTCAGCCGTGCTTGAATGAATGATGAAATATTTCTACCGTGCTCCAGGTATGTTTCTACCGTGCTCCAGGTATGGTTCGACCATGCTCAACCGAACTTTGATATCTTCGTGTGCTCGAGGTATTTGTCAGCCGTGCTTGAATGAATGATGAAATATTTCTACCGTGCTCCAGGTATGTTTCTACCGTGCTCCAGGTATGGTTCGACCATGCTCAACCGAACTTTGATATCTTCGTGTGCTCGAGGTATTTGTCAGCCGTGCTTGAATGAATGATGAAATATTTCTACCGTGCTCCAGGTATGTTTCTACCGTGCTCCAGGTATGGTTCGACCATGCTCAACCGAACTTTGATATCTTCGTGTGCTCGAGGTATTTGTCAGCCGTGCTTGAATTAATGATGAAATATTTCTACCGGGCTCTAGGCATGTTTCGAGTTTGCGTTCGATCAAAACCTGTCTCGACAATTCTCTTTCGCTCGACTATGAAAGTACAAACCTAAAGACTGGATGAAAATTTTAGAAAGGCGATTAATTTTGGCTGATTGACGCATAAAATATTTTCAAGGCTACTTTACTTCTGCGCCAAACTAAACTATTGATTACCATTAAAATATGACTGGTTTAAGTTTTCTGAAAAAAAGTTAGTATATTGGGCCATTCCAAAATTGTGGCAGAATTTAATCTTTTGTATCGATGCGACGCACATTAGGACTATCAAGAAACGTTATTTTGAGTTCGACGTGATTAACATTTTGCATTGATATTCATCGAATTTAAAGGTTGTAATTATTGATAGAAGTTCAGTAACATATGCATAAAATTGTGATTTATCATAAAAAATACCATCTAGTCTGTTCACATGTCAAAATTTTTGTGAACAAAAATGATTCCATTAAAATGGCAACAAATTTATGAATAAAATTATGAGAACAGTTAATCAAACTCAAACTGATAATCAAGAGACAAAAACAAGTTAGAAAAAAGTAAGTCCATAATTAGTTCAAACTCAAAAAACCAGTTAAGTGCGTTAGTTAATTCTCTAAAGTTTTAACTATTAGCTTAAACATGGTTGAGTTCTTTTGTCATCCCCTCTCTCTTGTTAGGAACAAACCTTTTTCTTTTTTGGACTATTGATGTTCGTTTGAACTCCTCAATTTACGATTCGAGTTCATTGTCATTAAAATGCCATGAAATACAAAAATATTATCTGCCCTATGCTTTTATGGGTTGTTTGACTTTCTTGGCAGCTCCATCTGGCAATGCTTTTACTGGTGGCTAGTCGGTAAAGATTCCATTTTACTAGTTCCCTGTGACTTGTCTTCCACCATAGTCTTTGAAGCCGTCGGCAACCATTTTTATACACAGAGGCGAAGCTGAGCTTCGCACCACTTGCGATACAAAATAAGAAATACGCTAACTTGGAAAAATATCGAACAAACTACATCTTTCAGAATAAATTGGGCTAGTTGTGAAAAATGCCAATGAAAATGGCACCGTGAAAAACCAACAAAAATCTGAATGCTGAAGACTTATAAACGTCCCCCTCGCCCTCAAAACACACACACACATAAAATTTTATTTACTCGTCATATGATAGAAACATTATGAGCATATTAATCTTTTGAAAATAAGACGAAAGCTATCAAGCCGAAATAAATAATTTTCTTTTAAAATTTTAAGCATTTTGTGCAATCTAGGGGGCCGCATAGAAATTATGTTTTTATTTCAATCTTCTTCTCAAAACTAAGACACTAAGCCGATAAAATATAAGCCGAAATCATTTAGGCAAAAAAGTTTTGAGCGATAAAAAAAATTAAGAAAACACAAACGGCAGAAAAAAAATCAAAACACCTAAGGCAAAAACAATGTAACTTGCGATACAACAACAAAAAAAACCATTTCAAAGATGGCTAAGCCGACAATACAGTAGTAGACAAATAAAAAGCTGACAATTTTTTGCAACAGAATATTTCACTTTTGAAAAAAAAACAAGTCCTGTCAGATTCGAACCTAGAGACTTTGCCGTCTTAGGCATATTCGTTATATCCAGACCAAGTGTGCCAGAGACGCAAAAAAAATTGCTATTATTATGAAACAACATACAAATGATTCAAGTGAAACAAGTTGTTAACCCGAAAAAAGTCTTTATTACGATTTGATAACACTTGCTAATCGCAAGCGTAAAAACTCTTCTAGTGCCACTTCGCAAAAATTTGAAAAGTTTGGAACAGCAAAATTGAGTTTAGAACCGAACATTTCGATTTTTTTTAAGCAATTATCCGAAAATTGTGGCAAAATCGAGTCATTCTGAGATTTTGTGAGAGCTCGAAAAATAAAACAATTGCCAAGAAGTCAACACAACAAAAATTAAAGGTTTTGTTTGGGCCTTGCTTCCCCTTGAGGCATTAATTGTTACGCCCTTACACTGTATTTAGTTGCTGGTTTTTAAAATGCAAGTTGATGACAAAATTTTAGGGCACCAAATACAAATAGACTCAATTTTGCAAGTAATAATTTGGAATATAACAAACTGAAGGCATCCACACTAACTTTGCATATAACAAATCGCAAGGCATCAAGCCACATTATTTATAAAATATGCATTTCAAAAACTTGCGAGCTATATTGAGTTAAAAAATTTCTGAAATCGAGTTTTTATTATTGTTTATATTTGAAACAAATCACTTTTTTTCCATGAAAAAGTTGTAAAGGTGACAAAAGTGGCACCAATATTTGCGACTTAGGTTGGAAAAAAAAGAAGGTTTGCAATAATACACTCGCTTCGCAAGTGTAAGAAAATAGTGGTTTTTATAACGACGAATAATGGATGACATTAATTGCAATTAATATTTTGACCCCACCTCGCGTATATTGAGGGTAACTGCTTTGCGCGAAAAGAAAAAATAGAAATACAAAGTCAACCACTCCTCACTGTCACAAAAGATTAGAAAAGATCAAAAATAACCGCATTTAAATTGCGTACGTTTACCATGAACTGCAATAAACTGCAACGCTTTTAGTAGCTCACTTTTGAACCGTTGCAAATTTTGAATATCAACATATGGCTATTGTGTTTAAATACGTTAATTGACCAGTCAATTAATTCATTAATTAGTTACGTTAAAGTAAATCTCAATAATTCATCAACAGTTTTAAGCTGTTTAGTTTTCAACACTTCGCATCTATAGTACACAACTCTAAAATCCCCATTCTAGGCTATTTCCAACCCCCCTCTAATTGATTTTATCTTCCAATTTTCTGCAGTTTTCTTTGAATGGTTTCTCTTTAAAAGCGCTGCTAACATAGGATACAAACTATAAGTACGTAAATCATTAAAATGATTCAAAAATGTCATTAATAGCGTTTTAGTTGGACAGAAAAAGTATTGGAATGATATGGGCGAGGGGGTGGGGGGATTAGGAGCCATTGGAGTCAGTTTCAAATACCAGCCTAAAACAGCCGCAGACTTAAGCCATATTGATGGCCTTGCCACAGAAGGCTGCAAGGTGAGCTTCTCGCACAGCTTCTGACATCGTTGGATGCGCATGGCACACTCTAGCCACATCCTCACAAGAGGCGCCATACTCGATTGCTAGAGCCACTTCGTTTATTAATTCACCAGCACCAGGGCCCACAATGTAACAGCCTAGCAGTCGATCCGTTTTCTTATCGCCCAATACCTAGAATGAGAAGAACAAAAGTGAGCTCAATTAGTGACTTGGCTAAGCCACCACAGCTAAGTTCATTTTCAAATGAACTTTACGGTAATGAATTCACGTTTCAACAAACGTATTGTAAAATCATGACTTTAAACAAGCTTTGTTCCGACCACTGAAAGCGGAGAGGAATTTTGTATTCGGGTGTGTTTTAGCTTTTTAAAAAACTTTTTTTGTTTTCCACGCAAAATCAGGTACCACAAATCATAATCGGAATGGGCCTTTCAGTCGTGATTCGAATGGCAGCAAAAAAATTCAAAAAATTGTCCCAGTGTCAAGAAAAACTGGTTTACATTTTTTGTTTTAGTCAAATTAATTTCAAGCGAGTAAAGCGATCGAGTAACGTTCGTTATATATAAAAATTAGCAATTTAGGTAAAAAAAAACGTAGGTATAAAACTAGCAAAAGAAAAATCGTTTTGGAAGCTTAATTAGCCGTTTTTCTGGCAGAAAAATTTCGAAAATAAAATTTTTAATGCAAAAAAAAGGAAAACTTTTGAGAAAACTTTTTGATTTACTTTTTGAAGACAATTGTAGTCGTTTATGCATAACTTACTAAATTTTTACGCGTTCGTATAGTTTCATTATAATCGTTAAAAAACAGAACAAAAATTAAGCCGAAAGCGATAGCTATTAGAAAGCCAATAAACCGACACATTCAGGCTCTTCAAAAGTAACTGATGCTTCATAAAGCAAGGTCAAGTTTTTACACAATTTTAAGAAATGTTTTTAGTACCCGATTGCGATTCACTGTTTCAAAAGCTTGCCCTTGAGGCTCTCTGAATTTCAAGAACAATTTATGATTGGCACTTTTTTGATAAAAATTAACCCCGTTTGAGACAACTGGATTCGTCTTTTTATATTTTTAAATAAATTTTCTGAAAAAAACTAACAAGAAAATCACTAAGTCCTATATTAGAGTCTTCCCTGCGTTCATTAACTCTTAACATAGTACGGGCGGGACTCGAGCCCCATACCCTTGGTACATCATACAGGCGCTTTCTCGCTACACTTAAAGCCAAGCTGTATGAAAGTATCTGATGTTTCTAAATCAAGCAAGGCCGAGTTCTTACACGTTTGTAACCTAAGTTAATTAAAGTAATAAGTCTTGTTGCCGATTACAAGACACTAGCTCTCGCAAGCGTAGCATGAACAAAACTGAAATAAATTAAAAATGAGCGTGAACCTTGACTAGTCCGTCTGTGTCGTCGTTGCATTTGGCTCTGCTGTTGGCGGAGAAGGGGAACTTTCCCACCGAGTACTCTATCTTCAAATTCTTCAAGTCTTCCTCGTTTTTCCCCACCCACGCCACTTCCGGGTGCGTGTAGATCACAGACGGCACTGCGTCGTAATTTATATGCGGTTTCGTTCCTGCAAACCCAAAACAATACCTTTAGCTGGATTTTTGAGAAGCATAGTCTATTAATTGTTCATAGTCTAAAACAACCATCTTTAGACAGTATTTGCAATACGAAATATAAAGACAACCATAATTCTGCACGCAATCTTACGTTTTTGAGCAAAAAGCCTTATTTTGTGTTTCCGAAGGGTAAATAGAAGATTAATAGGGTCTTTTCCATTATAAGGCCCAAAAACTGATCATTTTGCTAATTTCAAAACTTGATCACAATGCTCAAATCTTATTGGTTGCAATTCATATCAGCGACAATAAATTAAGGATTTCAATAAAAACAGAAGCTCAACTAACAGTCTAATAATTTTGGGCCGTATAACAGAAAAGACGCGACTAACATTCCAAGTTGTCCATTAAATAACTTTCATAAGATCATTGACTCACCTGATGCTATACTCTCTACACAAACGATTCCTTCGTCTTCCGCTTTATGTGCGAGCATGGGTCCCGTTATAACATCTCCAATGGCATAGACGTTGGGAACTGAAGTCTGGAAGGCCGAGTTTACATTCACTCTTCCTTTGTTGTCTAGACCGACTCCGATATTTTCCAAGCCAAGTTTCTCTGTATAGGGTCTGCGACCCACGCAAACTAGTAATGTATCGCACTCTATCGTTTCACTTTTTCCCTTTTTATCTTCAGCTGAAACGGACACTTTTCCATTGGAGCCAATAGCAGCACTTGTGACTTTCGTGTTCATTTTGAACTTCATGCCCTGTTTGGTCAGCAATCTTTGAAAGGTCTTTGAAATTTCCATATCGATTCCCATGCCTCCGACATGTCCTAGGAACTCAAGCGCAGTTACCTTGGATCCCAAACGTGTCCATACTGAGCCCAGTTCCAAACCTATCACTCCGGCTCCAATAAGGATCATTTCTTTCGGCACTTCGTCCAGAGAAAGAGCTCCGGTGGAAGATATGATTTTTTTCTCGTCTATTTCGATTCCTGGAAAAGGCGTCACTTCGGAGCCTGTGGCGATGAGGATGTTTTTGGTGGGAATTGTGGACACGGATCCGTCTTCGGCCGTGACTTGCACTTCGTTGGCAGATTTGATGTATCCGAAGCCATTTGTCCGCGTTACTCCATTAGCCTAAACGAGTAATTAAACTTTTTTTTTTTCGTTTCGACCACTTCATTTTGTAAAGATATTAGGAGCATTTTCAATTAAGTGAACATAATTAGAGTCTTTTCTATTGTATGAAAAAAATCTCTGAGACAATAGTGGCTCCCTTTTGGTTTTGATTACTTTCACCCAATCAAATTGAAGCAGTGAGAAGTCATTTGAAATAAATACAATTCTGAGGTGGCATTCTTTTTACTTTGAACAAGTAGTCGATTCCGGATGTGAGTGCAGTGACTGCATCTGACTTCTGCTGCATCATTTTGGGCAAATCTAGGGTCACTTCTCCCCCCATATTGATGCCCCTCTTGGCCAGGTCCCCACTGTGTGCCATGTGGTAGTAGTGGGAGTTGTTCAGAAGGGACTTGGAGGGGATACAACCCACGTTTAAACAGGTGCCCCCGAGCGTCTTCCCTTTCTCAACACAGGTTGTCTGAAACATAGCAGCCAATAAATAGTTCATGAAAAAGCATTCCGAAAAGATAACTGAAAAAAGCGCGATCTAAAAAAGCAAAAATAAATTTCATCTTAGTCTTACATTATACGCCTGAGCGGATGCTTAAGCATTAACGATGTGTCTCAATTGGACATATTAATAGCATCATAGTTTTGAAGAATTGAATTATTTCGCATACAGTTGATCCAACGGTAGTTTAACAATTTAACAGATTTTGGTTTTATTATCAAAATATGGTAGGGGAAGACCTGAGACATGCATAAACGTGCGTTTCAGGCCCTGGTGGTCGTTACAAGGTGGTCGTCACTCTTTTCGAGAATAAACGCACACTGACTTAAATTGATAAAAATTGCATGCCCAAAGAAATTCTTATTGCTCTCACAACAAACACAGTCAGCATTTTCAACGAGATGGGGAATTTGTTGACTTTTAGTTAGGTCTGCCATTTATGTCCAAATTGTGAGCTCTGCTCAAATCCTGGAATGACCAAATTTCAAAAAAAGCACCAAAAAGCGACTTTAAAAACCTGTTTTTTAAAGGGACCAGGTGGTCACCCCGGATCATCGGTGGGTTTTAAAAATCAAGTCTGAACTAAAATTTTCGTGCCAAAAAAAATATGTTCATAGCTGAAAGTGTAATTTATGGCAACGTCTCTTTTGGGCTCTAAATGGTTCCCTCATTGTTTCAAAGTACTGAAATCAATTGAATGTGAAAATTTCGAACCTTGAGGCCCAGCTGGGCAGCTTTAATTGCGGCGACATAACCTCCCGGGCCAGATCCGATGACCACAAGGTCCTGCTGTTCACCTGACGAGGAGGCGCTTCTGAGTGACCTCAAGAAGATAGACGCGGAGGGGGATTGACTGACAAGAGAGTGATTATTGCAGACACGTAGTCTAAGAAACTTGTGAGAGTTAATCATATCTAAATCTGCAATCATCCTCAGAGTAAACATTTAATTTAACTTAATTAGATAGAATAAGATAAATTTGATACAAAAAAAATGATTTTTTTTAGAAAACTCCTTATTGTTCATGAGCATTGGTCACGGTCACTATCGAAATAAATTCAGGATTAATTTACTTGCAGTCTTGGCAATACAACCTTCCAATACTCATTTGCCAGTAATTCATGAAATCCGGCAAAACAGAACTTAACTGACGAAAAAGATCATGTTAATTGATTTAAAAAATCAGTTTGTTTCAATTTACAAGGAAATTAAAATTATGGAAATGGCGTGCAGCTAAAAAAAACTATGAAAAAAGGTGTCTCACTCTTTAACCCTACGATATTTAACCCCCTCTGTTTACACCCCCTATATTATAACACCAACATGATAACCCCACAACAATTTAACCCCCTTTTAATGACGATAATTTGTTTTAATTAAGTCCTTTTTATAAGTACAGGAGTAGTCCAATTAAGCTTACTAATTGAGGCCTGAAAAGCTAATCTTAATTCACTTGATGCCTCTAGCATTTCAAAACTAATTGCATTTCGATTAGTTAGAGAAATAATCCCTCACTCACGCGTTTAAAACAGAGATAACCTACATGGTGCTAATTGAAGGCAACAAAAGACGTTTGTGAGTTTTAAAAAAAATCATACTGCCTATTTCTTTAACCATTGTTATACCACTCTATCAGATCAGATATAATGTTTGAAGCGTCATTCCATTTTACTTTATCTTCGAAAGACAAACAAATGCTAGTGGTATCAGGCCACGAGTATTACCTTAAACGCAAAATTAAGACAACAACAAATTGGAACTGCTCGAAGTACCAAACCCATAAATGCCGCGCAACAGCAACTACGGATGGAGAAAACTTTTTTGAAACGAGGGGTCAACATAATCACGATATTTCCACGGGCAAACCTGATGCTCGACTAGTTATGAAAAATAACTTTGTTTACACAACTGAATTTTATTCATGAATTCTCTCGTTGTTGGTGTTACTGTTGATAGCTGCTCACATATATCGGTTTGTCTGCAACTCCAACTAGTAATTCACGCCTGTTTTCGGTACTCCGCAATTCTCAGCTGTGGAGATTGATTTGAGCGTCCTTTCGCCTGTAAAACAGTGATTGTGACCATCCCAGGATTCGCCGAAATTAGGAAAGCCCCCTTTCTCCAGCACTGAGAAATGTCTTGTTCAAACGGAGTGGTTTTTGATAAAGAAAGTCGAATAAAATTCCCAAGCTCGGCTTTGGTGGGCAGTTTCGAATTGCGTATTCCAGTTCTAGGGGTAGAAAAATCCCTCCCACCCAGATATTAGATTTGAAGCGGATGGTCCGACATGTCGTCTATTGTTGGTGCTGTTGGTTTGGCCGAGCAGTTGAACAGGTTTAGTACGTCATGATGATTAAATAAAAAAAACTAGCGCAGATTTTGTTGGGGTCTGTATTAATTTTCGACAAGTAGCCGTTGAAGCGGGACCTATATCAGCAGCGCAGCAGGAATGCAATTAACATAGTTAGTCACTTCTGTCGGTTGAATCTTTTTCAAAGCATGCTTAAAGTTAAATAGAGAGCAGCTCGTGGCTTCGTCGAGGAGGTGTTTTATGTTGCTGTGATTTTTTTCAGCCACAGTAGGTTTAAGTTTTCCAGATTTTCCAGGATATTCATCGCAGACAAGGGTGTCACATATATGCGGATTTTTTTGCTCAAATATGCAAACAGTTTTTTCCAAATATGCGGCAATATCTCGACAATATGCGGAAAAAAAAGGTAATCCAAGAAGTTCAATTCAGTTCAAGTTATAAAACAGGAACAAAATTTTCTTGAGAGACTCGTCTGAGAGTGATTTTCGGTCATCTGCGAGCAAGCTGTTGTACTTGGAAAATGTACGTTCAACGTCAGCAGATGTTGAAAACAGGAACCCATAGCAAAGTACTAGGGCTGAAAGAGTGGGAAGCACCTCCTCATTCGCCAACCAAAAATCACGCAGACACATAATCTTCTCTTCAAGTTGTTTAACTTTAGTTGAAGAATCATTGATTTTTCCGAAAGTGAACTTTCTGGCTTTCTCACGATATAATAAGAGTTCTCCTGCTGGTATGTCGTTAAAACCAGGTATGGTGAGATCAGGTTTTTCTTCAAATTCCAAAGATGTAACAGGGTTAAAAAACCGAACATCTTGCAGAAACCGGATAGCGGGATGGATGCCAGTTTCACTGTCAAAGTATTTCGATAACTTATTGAGAGCAGCTTCGGCAGATTTCGATACTTTTCTCACAAATTGACTAAGCAGCGCACTGGGTGCATTCTGGAAAAATTCATCGGGAAAAGGGAATATTTCAAAATCTCCAAAATCTCTCTGACTTTCCAACATCACCAGTAAACATTCCAGTTGCGGATAAATAAACGCACTTTGTGCCAAAGTCGATTGAAAAACATACCCTTAAAAAATTCTTTGAGTTTGTAAACTTCTACGGCATACAAATCGTCCAAGTACCGAGCAAGTCCTGTTCTTTTGGGAATTGAACCCCCTCCAACAATATGCTTCTTGCAGAATTCTCGAAAAACTTCGTTATCAACAGTATTGAATGGGGTATTGGTACTCACTAAAACCCGGACGTAATCGGTAACAACCTTAAGTTTTGCAAGTTTTGCGGTATTCTCAACTGGAAGAGTTGTCGTAAGCGTTTTCTGTTTCTTGGCTGGAACTTCTGACTTGGCGTTTTTCTCGTGTAATTGTGTCTTTAGATGCTGTTCCAGGCATGACTGTCGGCTATAATCAATAGACACGGCACAGGTTTTGCAAAATAAAGTGTCACCATCCACATAAAAGTGCTCGGAATTGTTGCCTTGTCGTAATCGTTGCTTTGCCGACAGTTTCGAAGAGTGAACAGCTTTCGATTTTGCTTTTTGCGCTTTTTCAACCCGAGTTTTCGTATATTCTTGGGGTACTGAGCTTTGTTCACTGTCAGAAGCCGACATTTCAACAAAGTACAGTAACGTCTTTGAGCTGCAAATGGCGGTAGACGGTTCGTATATTCTTGGGGTACTGAGCTTTGTTCACTGTCAGAAGCCGACATTTCAACAAAGTACAGTAACGTCTTTGAGCTGCAAATGGCGGTAGACGGTTCCAGCAGTTGTCAAGTGCGGCAAGCAAACAACATCTGAAAGGTTAATTACTTGTAATAGTGAGTAAACAAACCGATATGCGGGATCATTGCGTCATATGCGCTGGTTATATGCGGGTTCTGAGGTCACCCTAAATATGCGGATATATGCGGAAATATGCGCCGCATATATGTGACACCCTTGATCGCAGAGGAGAAACTTGCTGCTAAACTGTTATCTTTCGCACTTTCACAAAAGCACCATAATCTAGTTGGTTGGTTTTCATTCAGTACAAAATGATCGAAGCCATTTCTCTATCGTTTTCAGTTGGCTCCGAGAGCCAAAGTTGATGATATTTTTAGGTACACTATTCTATCATGTGAACTGGTTGATGAGACACCGATTTTGATTAGGTTTATGTGTAAATAACCCATCTCAATATTGCATCCCTCAATTTCAGAATGTAGACAATTCATTTCTACTATCAAGTGCAGTTATTGAACGATTTTATAAAAACAGGACTGCTAATCCACCATCTATCTTCTCCTTTAAGACATATCTGAATTTTGGGTAATTTAAGAGAAGTGGTGGTTTACCGATTGAAATGTTGGTTAGGTTTGCTTCTTGCATGGCTGCCACTGATATATTTTTTACCGCCAGGAAGTAAACAGAGTAATCTAACTTCAGGCGAAAGCCATTAGCATTCAGCTTCGGAATTTTGAAACTGGGATCTTGGTTATTGCTTGGTTATTTACGGGCGGTTTTAGAGGGTGTTCTTGGGTGCGATCTTCTGAATGTTTGTTGTGGTGACTCTTGGTTGTCTTTATCAAGTTGTTGCAGTTTTGGGATAATGGGTTTGTTAATATGAAGGTTTGCTGGAATTGCAGGTTTAACAATGTTACAGTTGAAACTCTGAACCACTTCGAGGATGTACGCAACGAAGTGCACGCCTGGTGAACACACCCGCCGAGGTGGCAGCAAACACTGTGTACACTCGTAATTCTTAAATGACATGCGGGGTAGCTGAAAATCTTTCTATGCTGAGCTTCTTTATTTGTGCCAGAAGGGTTGGAAGGGGCCTAAGTGATGTACAATTTTTGGATTGTTTAGATACAAAAAAATGTGCATGTCTTCGAGCGTTCAGAAATTGCTACATATTTCAACTTTTTATTTAACGACGAAATTCATCAAAAGTAGGCATGGTCCAGCCTTTTTCTTATATAAATGATAACTATAAGATCATCTGACAAATTCAAACCCAGCGAAGGTATCATTTACACAGAGGCGAAGCTACGCTTCGCAAACATTAGCGAGAACCCGACAAAAAGCAGCTCTATAAAGTGCAATATGAAAAAGTAGAAATAAACCTCGAATTAGTAAAAACTCGGCAACATCTCCAATTCAATCTGCGACCTAGAGATTATAAGTTTCAAGCAGAAACCACTCAGCCACGGATGCTTAGAAAATCACACACACTAGACCCATATAAAGCAGAGAACAGATGCTATGAAATTTCCAATAATACATATCGCGATTATAGCAAAATGGCGCCAATTAAGTGAACACTTTCCACTTCCAATTAACACTCTTATTTGCGAGTTAGGTTAGAAAAAAAGAAAATTCGTACTAATACACTGCGCTCGCAAGCTTGCTAGTGTAATAAAAAAAAGAACAGGAAAAATCAGTTTTTTTTTTCAAATTTTACAATTAGATTAAAAGGAGGTTTCAACCAATTTGATTTGGGAAAATGTTCAAGTGTATTGACTTCTTTCTAGTTACTCAAGGAATGAAAAATAAAATGGTCTAAGGTCGTATTTCATTTCTGTTTTAAGCCGGCTCTCTCATCATTTTCGCTCGGAAATAGAACAAAAATCCAATATTTCAATGGCGACTGTAGGGGCTTAATATGATATATCAATCAACAATCTCCGATGATTATTTGTGGTACCTGATTTAGCGTGGAAATCAAAATAAAGAAAAAACTAAATCACACCCGAATACCTAGTTCCTTTTCATTTTTCAAATGGTCGAAACAATTAATACAAAACCATTGCTGCTAAATTTTCATATCAAAATGATTTCCAACCATTATCAAATTGCCTGAATTAGAAGAAAATTAGCGAAAAAAATCTGTTACGATTTGATAGCGCTTGCTAAAAATCGCACGCCAGAAACATTTGCTATCTCGAGAAGAACTTCGGAGGAAACCAGCTACTAGATGGTTCGATTAGTAATTCGCCCCTACGATCGATTTGCATGCCAGCACCAATTTCTCAGAGGGTATTATATAGTTTAAATTGAAAGTCATTCAACAACATAAACTTCTAAAGAAGTGAAGGCGATCCTTGGAAACACAAGCGACAAAAAGTTAAGAACTAGCTTTTTAAAGGTAAAAAACAAAAGCGGTGAAGGCTAGAAAAATATGAATGAATTCTGAAAAATAAATGCCCTCTATGGAAATCTAACTGAGAAAAATAAATGACCTCTACGTAAATCGAACTACAATCTTTGCCCACCCAAATCAACTGCCCTACTCAATTGTGCTAATGACACTTAAAGCACAAAAATATTAGCCAATTATGAAGCGGAAAACACATGCTATCAATCTGCCAATGCAATGCAGAAAAAGTGTTTTCCAAAAAAAACTACTCAATCCAAAAGTAATTAAAAATTTGGAGTCGTACTATCAAACAATTCACGCTTGTGTAAAAAAAACGTCAATTCCAAAACCAAGTTCAATTTTTTGGGCCTCCTATGGTTCTCTACAAATGCATTCATAATTCTCTTTGTCTTCATCTCCTCAAAAAATAAAATATCACGTAAAATTATTAATTTTCTTAATCAGTGCGCGCATAAAGAGTTGTTTATATAACAATACAATTAGACTGGCATTTCTAGCAGCTCGTCCAATTTCCTCTTCTTGGTGGCTACAGACATGTCTATGTATTTATCGCCGACTTGCACTATCATACCTCCTCCGATGGTTGGGTCAACGGCCGTCTCTATTTGCATAGTCTGGTCTTTCTTCAGGAAACTCTGCAAAACCTGAAAAAACAGCTGTTGACTTCAAGCCGCACAAGCTATTACTGCTCCTGCAATAGAAGGAGCAATGTTCAAAAACCAGACATATGAAATTTAAAATTAAACAGAAAAAAAAACGGTTGATCGAGAGCCGTTTCGAGCACTTGAATTAATTCATGAAATATGCTTCTCAGTTTTAAATGTTTCATAGATCATTTAGAGTTCATGAAGTTTGATTCACCTTTTTAACTTCTTGTTCAGTTGATGGATCCATGGCTGCGGCAGTTGTGACTTTTCCAACAATTTCTCCCTTGTGAGCGGTCATCAGCTCTTCGAAAGATTTAACCACGTTGTCCGTCATCGACAATCTATTATTTTCGGCAAGCGTGTCAAAAAGATTTGTGGTCAGCGGACCAACGCTGATTTTCGACAGAACTTCGCTCATGATTTTGCGCTTTTCGATGCGATTTACGAGAGGGCTGTTCACAAATCCCCTGAAACATCTCAGACATTGCCTTGAGCGTTTGGTCCTCAAAACGAAATTAAGCTCAAACATGTTAATCTATTCTGCTTACAGTTTTATTGCTTAGATATTCCTATCTCATCAATTCAGTTACATTAAAGCATCATCGACAAAACAATATTTCCTAAGACTAAGCTAACTTTTGTATTCACTTTTAAAACCTTTCAAGCACCGATTGGCTTTTCGATTCAGGCTCTAAAAATTGTAACAAGCTACTGTATGGGTATTGTTTCATACTTGAAATCTTTATTCGTCTCCAGCAACTTCTTGATCACTTTCATGTCTTTCTCGGCGTCTGCCAGTTTCTGCTGACCAGCAGCCACAGTATAAAGTGCTGTTGCATACCGTCCCTCGGTGCTGTACAACTTTACCGGCGGCTTTACCTGAGCAGCAGCAGTTCTTATCGCGGATTTCGTTGAGGTATGAGCTCGAAGCATTTTCACTGAAAATGGAAATATTTTTCTTTGCGACGCAGCTAGATAATCTTTAGTAAAAACCACCCATAAAACTCAAGTATAATGCGAATAAAAGTGAAGAATCAGATGGTTGGGAATCAAGCCAATAAGATTGAGAAGACAATGATTGAGAAATTAGTGTAACATTCGTCTACTGCAGTCACACATGAGGCTTAAGAAAAATAGGCCCTATAACTATTGGCTCAAGAGTCAGGGACACTATCTCTTGTGTTTTTCCACCTCAAATCAGTCGGAGCCAATTCGGTTCGCTTGTGACACGAGACCACGACCCGTTACAGCTTAAAGGCTACTACTAAAATATCCCCCCACTCTAGAATTAATGACGTCCCCATACTCAGGTCTCTAGATACCCAAAATACATGAACGCCGTTAAAAACCGGGTCGGAACAATCCGTTAAGTTACTTTTTATTAGACAGTGGAACTTTGATCCATTTCAGATGGATCAACCTAAAACTCGCCTTACCTCAACATAACAATTATAAAACACACTCTAGAAATTTAAATTAGTACTCACATTGTAGCACGCTCAAGAACTGGGAGTAATCAAGTCGGTAATCAACTCGAGAATTAAATAATGTAACTAAAATGAGTTTAATGTTTGTCAGTTTTAATAACAAGAGCAAGTTTGTACTCTAGAATGTCAGTTCTCGTGAACCATTGGGACACTCTAGCTGTCCACCTTTCCACCGAAGGTTCACTCTAGTCCAGTTTAGAATAATACTCCAATCACAACAATCCAGTTCGTGGGGATGCGCTCGTCTCTCTTCTAGATGGGACAGCTCTACTCTAGATTATTATCGCTACTGAAATTGCGAATAGCAATTTCCCACTGATTTTCCTAGCAACTTTCCCGCGATTGTCACTCGATTGTTCTGACTTCTCTTTTTTGACTTTCAGTTATCGCGAGAAAATCGTGCATGACATGCTCCATTCGAAATTTTGAAAAACTTAATTTCACCCCAAAATCAAGTGCTCTTGCTTTTCTCAAGGTCAAACTTCCAAATATGACCGACTGGCACATACTCCCCGGACTCGAGATCGATGTCCTCATCGCGTGCTGTCTTCTGCCAGTGAGTCCCAGAAAACCGAGTGTTACTCAAGATACAGTGCCAGTGGTCATTTACAGAAATTTGCAGCAGACTTAAGCTTATCTACACCCCAAAATTCACAGCCAAGTAAAATTTTCACACTATCGCTAAACAGCAATCAAAATCTGCACACTAGATACGGCAAACTGTCTCAACAGTTCCTCTTCATCATCGGAGCTAATCACAATCTCCTCCCAAGCCTTCAGCTGTTCGTAGGATCGCATCCATTCTCTTTGCTCTTGCAACCTCTTTGCCTGGTTGGGTAGTGCCTTCACCCTAGATTCCCGGTTCAAACAGAAGGAGTTGTGCAGGCTCAAGCTCACGTTCTTCGCCAGGTCCTCCTCTAGTATCGATTCCCTCGCCTTGGTATTGTCTCTAGACATTTTACCCACTCTCTTCCATCCTGTCGTGATTGCATTACGATGGGTTAACAGGGGTCTCTTGAAAGTTTCCGGCCCAATCTCGGCCTGGAACTGTCGATACTCCTTTTGATGTTTTCTCATGTGATCTTTCGTTGTCATGTACAACCAAGACGTCAGCGTCGCCCGAAACCATGGGAAGTACCTCAAACGGCTCCAGACATGTCTGACTTCCGTTGGTATGGCGAATACCTTGCACGCAGTCTCAAACAACTCGAGTCTCCTACTGTAGTCTATCGCGTATACTGACTCAGCCGTTGACGTCCCCGCTTCCCGAAACTTCTCCATCCATCTCAGAGCCAACATCGTACTCACTACCAAGAGCGTCACCTTCTGTCGGTGATCCGGTAGTCCGATCGACCGGATTTCCTCCATATCCCACACCAGGCAAAGGTTCTTGTGATCTGGATACCACACCGTTTGCGCCAAACAGTGGCATGGGCATTCTCCATGGGTGATTTCAATGTTCCTGATGTTACGCTCCCCCGAGGCTTCCAAGAGAGGCTCAAGCTCCATCATTTTCTCATGCATCGTGTCGTTATCTTCCAGGTTTGGAGCACTTCCCACAGGTTTCCCGATCACGCTTTGTCTCTCGTGATCGCTTGTGTTCTCTCTCTCCAACTTCAAAAGTTCTTCTCCCCAGATTTCACTCAAGTCATCTCTCAATTCTTTTGGTACTGTCCCTCTGATTTTTCTCAACAACTTGTGCGAGTGATGCGATATCCTAGCCAACCTCACGCACTTGGGCACTGAGAAGGCCTTGTCCACCATTACTCTCTGGCTGGATGCTTCCACCATCGCCATGTGCAGTGGGTAGTGACTTCCGCACAAGTTGGCCATCATTGACCCTATCAGGGATTTTGCGTTCAATGGCAGGCCATAAGCTTCGCTCATGGGAAACCCCATTTCTGCCTCAAGACCAACTTTCCAGCTCCGGATGTGTTTTTGAGTCACCTGCAACACCCCAGGCCATGATTCTACGCTCAACGTCGTCACCCAATGGTGTTCAGACTCTAGTCTTTCCAATGACTGCAAACTACACATTCTCGAGAAAAATCCGAGAGCTGTCGCTATATTCACCGTGGTTCTCGCGTAACACTCCGCTACTATTTGCACTTCACTTCTCTCCCTTTCTGTGATGTCTTCGAACCAAGTGACCAGGTCTTCTTTTTGAAAGGACAGTATTCTGACGCATGACCGTCCATCGCAGGTGTGCTCCCCGTTTCCACACGTCGAATCCAGACAACTACCCGGCTCCATTTTCTTCGCTGACCCGGGTTTGTTCGTCTTTTCGCTTGGCTCTTGCATCTGAGGTGAGATTAGCTTATGCAGCACACTCAACTTTGCCAGATCTTCATCTTCCGTTGGTGCTAACCTCACTCGCTCGGTGGTTTCCTCGATCAGACTCGCGTGGGGATGTGGACACCAGGAGGGTCTTAGTAGCTTCCATACCACTCCCAAGTTCGTGGTTAACAAGCCATTTCCATCGCCCATGTTCACTTCAACTCTCTTGTTTGAGCGCGGTATGCTTACCACCTCTGGTGTTTTCTCAAGAATCAGGCCCAAGCTCGGCCCCTCTTTTTCCACCGCGTCTATTTCCATTATTCTTTCTGTCCAAAACTTCAGTAGCTCCGCTACCTCATGGTTTCTGTGGGCGCCTCCAGTTTCCGAGTCTAAGAAGGGGTTGTAGGCTATTCCCATCACTCCTGACACGTATTGGTATTTCCCCTTCTCGCTGGGTCTCGAGTACTGCTCTGACGAGGCCAGGTTACGGTGAACATCATGCTCTTCTTCGAACTTCTTATCATAAAATCTCCGTACCTCGTCCAGCTTTCTGTGGTTCTCTAGGGACAGTCTGGAACCATCTTCTTTTTCTATACCAGTACTCTGATACACGTTTAAGATGATCGTTGAGACTCTTTTTTCCACGGTTTTACTTCCGCTTGCTCTCTGGTGGCATGCCAAGATGGTACTATCAGACATCATTGACATTATCCATCTCAAGAAACATGTGGCATCCTTCCTCCTAGCCAGGCTCAAGCCTGAATTGTCCCTAGCCACGTGTTGCATCAATGCTTGATACACATCTAGCTTTTTGCTTCCCAACTTCAGTCTATCATACGAGGTCAATGTCTCCAATTCTATTCCCACCAGACTCCAGGTGAACATTAATTGTCCTGCAGTTCTAACGAAGGGATTCGCCATTAATGGTGGTGCTGATGAGGATGTCCTCATTGCCTCTTCAAAATGATCCTTCAACAAGTTCTGCCAGGACCTCTTCAGCTGATTCGCCACTTCTATTTTATTAACCTCGGCCTTTTGCTGGGTGGCCCAATTGCGTCGCTTGCGAGCTACTCCACTGTCCAATTTCTTCAAGCAGTCCTCCATTTCCTTCAATGTCTCGAGGGCCACCCACCACGTCCGGGAGGTGTTCCTCGTCTTGTTCCTCTCCAATGGATCACTTGTCACTCGCTTGCCCGTGGCCTGGTGTGCCTTCGAGATCCATTCTTTGCCGACATCTACTTCCCATGTCTGTCCGTTCGTTGAACTTCTCTTCACGTTTATCTTCTGAGGCTTGAAGTCTTCCTCCGATGTCGAACTGGTGGAAACCTCTATTTCCCTCTCTACTTCAAGTGGTCTTCTGAGCTCCGAGCTGCTCTTGTATGCCGCCGTCTTGCATCGAGCCAAAACCATGGGCGCCGTCTCTCTCAAGTTTCCTTCCGAAACAGCATCCACTGAAGGACTACCCAATCCCTCCACTTCTCTCTTCCTCTTGCGAGTCTTCACATCTCTGCTTGAGGGTGTTGTGGCTATCATCACTGATTCGACCTCTCTGTCTACCTCCAACCCTTCCAACTCTTGCCTTCCCCCTGCTCGAGCCTTAAGGATATTAGTACTTTTAATCATATTACTAGTCCCAACCTTATCCCTTTTTATATCATTAACTATTTTATCTACAGTTTTTTGTTTCAGAGTAGAGCTGTCCTCACATTTTTCTTCTCTAGTCTTCGATCGTGAATTCCTCAGCTCTACCAGCTTGCTCAGCAGCTCTTTTCTCGCCTTCTCATCCAGGCCCGTTCCTATCAGAAGCGGTTCTCCAAATCTTACGACTGTGTCCCACAGTTCCTCCTTGAACTTGTCCAGCGTCGTCTCGCTGCCCACTTCTTGATTGAATTCTTCCAAGAACTCCTGCCAAGCATCGTTCTTCAGAGACCCCAGGAATATGTCCCTGTTCCCTTCGAAAGTGTTCCTTTCCCTTTCCTCCGAGCTCAAGAGTATCATCCCCATATTGAAGGTCTCATTTGCCAATGGCAATTCCAGATTCTTCCGGGGGGACGGATCCAGAGGTGGGGTGGCAGTATCTGCCCAATTCTCCTCGCTCAAGTCTTTCAACAGCTCTTGAGTGGTGAGCTCCTCCCCTGATGGCCCTGGTTCAGGTGTATTCCCCACTTCCATGTCTTCACCGGCTTCACT